ATCGACTAAAAGAATCCAAATGGGTTTGACTTGACCATCGACTTTTAATATCCCATCAAAACGGCTGTCTTGAGTTAACGAATTCAGGTCACTCATATGAGTGGTTGAGCTTGTACCAACTTGATATTGTGGGCGTATAAAAATCGAGAGTTGACCATTACGGAGAGTGTCGTTCGTATCGTTCGGGCTAATGAACAAGTAAACTGACAGAATAAGCTTTTGCTGCATACCGATCGGAAAATCGTGATCGGGTAGAATAACTGGCTCTTGGAAACTTTGTATGGTTTGAAAAGTTCTTCCGACTGCGGGAATACCAAGAGGAATCTTGGCTTTATCGTCCTGGGAAATAATAACAGAATGAGTTGGAAATAAGGCCGCAAATTGTTTTGCTCCTTTCACGGATGCAAGACAATAATGTTCATCGACATGTTCGTTTCTTTCATTTCGTGAAACAGATGCATTTGCAATAATAGCTGGGTGATGATGAGTTTTTGCTGCTGTAGTATTCGATCGAGATGGCAACAAGTAATTATTGAGGGTGGTATGAGAAAGATACTCGTTATATTTTGAATTGAGAGCCTCTCGAAGATGTTGAATTGTTCTAACTTTAATAACTTCTTTTCTTCTCTTTTTGTCTGCGGCTCCGAATTCGATGCTTTCATGTATATGGTCATGTAAATCGGGATGCTGAATCAAAAGAGGTGGACGACCAGGTGAATCATATTTTATTACCTCTTGATGTTCTTGCAGGAGCTTTTCTTTTTTTGCCCTGCTTTTTCGTTGATATCCTGCATGACGCTTTAATTTTTTAACTTTAGTATCCTCATCATGCAAAATTTGTTTGAGAGTTGTCATGCGCTCCATTATATTATGCCGAATTTCCAAGTCGGTAGTAGAATTATAAGTTCGTTGAAGTTCAGCAAGCTTCGTATTAGTTGCACTAATGGTTTCTGCGGCTTTTCTTTGTGCAGCAGCATTAGGAGGCGAAGCGGTGTCAGCTACAATATTCTCTTCGATTGTTTTTTGAGGAGCTTGATCGGTTTGAGCGGATTTTGAACTTTGAGATGGGCTGGGTCGCGAATTACTAATCTGCAAAAACCCTTGGATTGGAATTGGAGTTGTCAGGTATTCTCTGATTTTACTTTCGATTTCTTCTTGTGATTTATGTCGAATCTCTTTCCACGCATTAGTACATTCATTACACAAACTAGATTTTGGATACATAGGGTTTTTTGCATTCACCATACGATAATATCCAAAAGCATTGCAGAATCTTTGATGCTGATTTGTAGGGGTTGTATAAATATAAAATTTATTATAT